TGAGTTTTAATATTCACTCTCATGGTAAGGAAAGAAAAGTAGTATAAGCCAGAGGAAGTGGGTATGAAATACTTACCTGTAGGACCTGGCTTAAGAGTGGAGAGGCCTAGCCTGTGGCTCTGTGGCCGGGTTTGCACAAACCTTTCCTGACAGAAGGTCATAAGACAAGGGAGAGAAAAGCTAGTTTGGAAACGGAGAGAATTTTTCGCATTACACTGGATCTTAGAGGCTCTGCCCTCAGCCAAGAAATTAGGTTTTGAAAAGCCTTAGGTGAAGTTATCTGTCGTTAGGTCTTAAAATGACCCTCTACCACTTAACATACTGCAAACAACATTTGCATACTGCTGCAAAGTTGCACTCTACAAGAGTTAAAGGTCTATATAGCATTCATTTTGACCTTTACCACTACCACCCACCTGCTCTCATGTTCTTAACACTTTCGATGTTTTCATTCCCCTCATAGCCTATGCAAATAGCGTGTTCTGATGTTAATGCCTCACATGGAGGCCACAGTGTATATTAATTTCACCAGATGCATGGTTTTGTCTCCACTTCTACAGAGTCTCGTAATTTTCCTGTTTCAAGTCCCGGAAGTTCATGAAATCCTTTGGCTCTAGGAAATGTCTCTGAGGGGTTTTGTTGCTGGCCACTGAAGGTTATGGAATGTATTTCATCAGGTAGAATGGTGACTCTTAGGGAGCAAAGAATAAGGAGAGTGCAGATTGTCCCTCGGCATAGGGAAGAGGTCAAGTTTAAGCCCTGCCTGGGCAATTTCACAAGACTCTGCTTCACAATGAAAAATAAATAAAGGGCTGGGAATATAGCTCAGTGGTAGACTGCTTGACTAGCATGCGTGAGCCCTAGGTTCAATCCCCAGAACTGAGATAAAACAACACTGTAAGAAGTAAACAGTGAAATCTTCACAGATGATGGGAATCGCAGGGTAGAAAGGGTATAATTAGAAAGTATTTCATTTTCATTATTTATGTAGTTTCTAATGAGCACATCAAAAATGTACATATTTATGGAGTTCCATGTAGTGTTTCAGTGTATGTACAGATCATGTAATGTTCAAATCTGGGTAAACATGTCCTCAAACATTTCTCATTCTTTGTGGTTAGTGTTCTCAGAACCCTTACTTCTAGGCATCTGTGACATACATGCTCACTCTTGCTGTTGTTGGTAGTTCCCCTACTGTGCGACAGCACACCAGAACTTCTCTTATCCAACTGCATCTTTGTACCCATTAATCAACCTTTTGTCATCAGAAAGTATTAGTAGCTAAGATGATGATCCGAATGTCTTGAAACAAACGACAATAAGAAAGAAAAATAAAATAACATCACATCTGTGGCTTCAGTATAACCAGCAGGAACGGCACTCAATCTTCAAGTTACCCACAAGTAGGTGAAGAAACCCCATCCCAGGGAGTTTTCTTTCGTGCTTCGTCTGTTAGCCTCACCAGGTGCAGGGACTGAAGTGGCAAGTGTTGTTTGGGAGAAGAAGGAGAGGAGTGAGAGACTTGTGACTGGTCTGTAGTCATCCCCAGAGAAGATGACTCTACCCTGAGCTGGCAACTACGGGAGAGGCCTGATAGATCAGAGCCCTGCCACAAGGAGCTTGAAAATCCGTGCTATTTTCAGTAGTAAAAGGTTGCCTCAGGGGGAAGAGAAATAAAATGTAAGGAGGGATGCTACTGAGAGATTTGGTGGTGAAGGGGAAAAAACAGGAAAGGAGAAGGTTGGGTTTTGCATGGTAAGAGATAATGGCAAAATTGGATGGTCGACAATGCTTTTTCAACCTGAAAACAGACAAACAAATGCCGTCCTTAAAAAAATCCATACTAACCAAACACGGTGGTGTGCTGCTGGAATCCTAGTATTCATGAGGCTGAGATAGGAGACTTGTAAGTTCAAGGTTAGCCTGGGCTGCATAGTGAGACCCTGCCTCAAAACAATAGAAATAACAACAGCAAAAGAATTTCCCCAGTGTCATTGAATTAGAAGTCAAAGAGAATTGATTGAATTCAGGGAATAAATATACATAAAAACAGTATCAGATCAAATCCAAGTTACAAAGTGACCAAAATAAAAATTTGTTAGGAGAAACTGAGGAACAGCAGGAACACATTTGAGAGGATGAAAAGAATAAAGTAAGTTTCAAGTAGCCAGAATGAGAGAGAGGAGGGCCAGCATACATGTAATTAGGATCTTCGAAGCTACTTGAAATAAGGGAATGGAGCAAATATTTGAAGCTATAATTAAAGAAAATTAGAAATGTCCACACATACGCTAACTCCATGATGTATTTTATTCTATAACAATAGAGAGATAACACATGTAAGTATGTGTGTGTTGTAAAGTAAGAAGTCCAACTTCTTTAGAATCAGTGATTTAAAAACAAAGCACCATCATATGCTTTGACAGTTTCTCAAGTTGAATAGTATTGAAGTGCACACAGAGCTTAATAAAAAGAGATGATTTTCATGCAAACTGTGTTTCCTTGTAACATACTGCACTGGATTGGGAATACAGAAAAGTAGATATGTTTTTTGAAGTACCCCTTTAAATGTAAAGAGTAATTTAAAATTGTTGTACAAATGTCATCTCCTAAAGTGCTTCATTTGCAGTACTGCCCAGATTTACCTGAAGATGAAACTACTAGAATTTTTTTTTCCTGTTTAGTTCCATAGTTAACTGTCAAATTCATATGTTAAAGATAATCAAGCTTCAGGTTTTACAGAAGAGCTTATCATTGCTTATTAGCTCTTAGTTGTTACAAATCCACTTAGGACAGGGACTGGGCATGGTTATTTATGTATGAGTTAGAGTGGAATAAAAATTTCAGCTTTACTGAGGAGACCCCACCAGATGGACTTGAGCCAGTGTCCAGTCTATAAAGAGGAGGGTCAACACGGAGGAATCATTTCCTCCATGCTTCCAAGAGGAGCCAACAATGGTCGAGCAGGACCTTTGACTTATCCTCACATGGATGGAGCCGGTAAAAGAAAGGAGCCAGGGGCTCCTCCAAACCCCATGGGACCCCTGAGGAACAAATATTCTAACGACCTCAAGAGTAAAAACAAA